GTTTCGCCACTGCTTGACAGATGTTATCTGCCCCTCGGGCTCTAGCTACTTCTCTCGTTCGAGAGCGTCCGTCGATGCGCGGGGCAGGCGAAACACGACGAGATCTGCCTGGGCTCACCTGAACCCCTGCAGCTGCAGCCCCTACCTGAACGTCCGCCACAGCGCTGCCCAGGATCATTCGCATCGGGAAGTTCCCAGACATGGTATCGCGGGTCCCCCAATGGGAGGAGGGGGAAGGGGAAGGGGAGGGGGAGGGGGAGGGGGAGGGAGAGGAGGAGGAGGAGGAGGAGGAGGAGGAGGAGGAGGAGGAGGAGCAGGAGGAGAAGGAGGGGGAGGAGGAGGAGGAGGAGGAGGAGGAGGAGGAGGAGGGAGGAGGAGGGGGAGGAGGAGGAGGAGGAGGAGGAGGAGGAGGAGGAGGAGGATCGGCCCACCGAGGGGGCGCGGTCGTGGCCTGGGACACGCCGCGGCCCTTGTGACCGACCCTTACTTCGGGCGAACTCGCTTGGCTTTGCAGGCTTTGAAGGGGCATTATGGGCTCCCCTGAGGGCCAAACCTTGGCCGAGACATTCGGGGGCAGACAATTGGCCAACCTACGCAAAGCCTCCCTACCACTGTCGGTGCCCACGCCGCCTGGACAAGGGACGGGGAGTTGGTTAAGCCTGCCTCCTCCGGTGCTCGTGCGACTGCCGAGCCTCGCACACTTCGCGCACCAGAGTTGACCATTCATGATATGCAGCGAATGTGTCGGGTGCGCGGTCTTACCTCCCACTGTAAGAGAGAGGGGTATGCGGAGGGCAAAATCGGCAGGGGGCACATTATAACATGAAACAAAAATCTTCCTTTGCAAGGGTGCGCCTGCATCCAGCTTTCAACGGCCTCTCGTGTCGGGCCCAGCATACAATGGAAACATAACCAGCGTTTTTTGTTCTTCGGGTGCTGCTGCATGCAGTGGCCCGTGGCTCGCTCGAGCCCACGACGAAGCGCGACTATCTTCACTGGCCTCTTGCGGTTGTGCGCAACCCGAGGACGCTGGTGCTTGACCCGTGGCAGCGAGTTAACAGCCGAGGCGACTGCCGACAGACGCCTGTGGACCCGGTGCAGGAGAACTTCATAGTCCTTCAAAGAATCTAATTGGGGCTGGATAAAGTTCAGAGCCTTCGCGAGGCCTCTCTGGGCCAGCGCGTCGGCTCGTTCATTACCGAAAGACACAGACCATGGCTGAGAAACAAGACGGAGGCGCACGTCGTCTAGGTGAGAGTTGCACTTCTTCACGCGGACGTTGGAGATCCTGTCGGGCCTCTGGAGGATAGCTTGCTTGATGCGCTGTCACCATTGCTTGTGGGGGCCTCGACGGTAGCCACCACCTGGAGTTCCAACCGCGAAAGACCAGAGCGTTGTCAGTCCAGATCTCGAGGGGCCCCTGGGTGTAGAGGAGGCAGTAGTAGAGCGCCGCAAGCTCAGCACTCGGAACCGTTTGTAGGCCGTCTATGGGACCGTAGAGTCCAGGAAACCGATCTTATCCAGGAAAATCGTTGAAGTCGAAAGCAACCCTCCAACCTCCGCGGGCGTTGCGAGAGTCTGCGGAGTTGACCGAGCCGTCGAGGTAGGCCCTGCAGGCCTGGATCGGGGTACCGACGATGCTGGTGTAGGACTCGAACTCGGGGATAGGAGCGTTCATGTCGACATCGAAAACGGGTTGGGGTTCGTGCCAGTCAGGGGCCTCAGGATACCTCGGCACCAGAACATCTTCACGTCAGGCTCTTCGCTGATGGACTGAGCGGCCCTGGCGCAGAGGTCCTGGGTACGGCGGATCCAGTCGCGGTCGATACCGTCATGTTTTGCACATTGGTAGCACCTGCGCAGCAAGTCCTCAGCTGCTTGTCCACATCGCGGGCACGAGGCTGGACAATCGTAGCCTGCAGTGAAAGTGCGCTGAGCAGTCCTCCAACTGCCAGTACTGATATTCTCCAAGGCTCCAGCCCCCTTGAAGAACTTCTTGCGTCGCACCCATCTCAAGGAGCTCTGCGCCGCTTGAAGGCGCCCTCCTTGCTCGCAGCCAGGGCCTTTTGGGTGTTGCCATGCTTGCTGCCACAGGCCTGTTGCTACTCGATCGTGAACTGCTTCGATGAGGGAGATGAGGTCGGTGTCGTCGGGGTTGTAGGTCCACTCATCACCTTCTGGGTCCGTCCATGTAGTTGCCACCCGAGCTCGCCCATACCGACGATGAGAGCGCCCATGGGCCCCGTGACAGATCTCCACTTGGACTTGGCGCGCACTCTGGCAATCCTGTCGACTACTGCCTGCCATCCGGGTCGAACACGGGCATGGAGCTGCGGCTGCTGGGCCCAAAATGTAAACCACTCTGAGATCTGTCGTCGGAGGTTGAAAGATAGTGGGTCCTGCTTGCCGCAGATGTGAAGCATGATTGTCGGCGTGCACATGCCGCCAACTGTGGAACCTGCCATGGTAGCTGCCGTGGCTCTCTCCTGTTTCACTCTTGTCGCAAGTAGCTCCATGACTGCAGAATCGCACACCCGCTGCGCTCGCAAATTAGCCGTCTAGAGACGAGCCGTAACTTTCCGCCCAGCCCCACGTCTCTGAAAGATCTGCGCTCTGCGGAACCGTTTTGCCGTCGCTCTCGCTCTCTTGGCTGCCGTAGGAGTACGCCTCGCCCTGCCAACGGTGGAGTCGAAGCCGAGGTCCTTGGTTGTCTTGGCTGAGCGGATCGCCACCTCTACTTTGCATATTGAGCGGACCACTGCTTGCTGGACTGAGCGGTGGCCCAGGATGGTCGTCTTCTCAGAGACTTTCAGGCCCAACTCATGTATTCCTTCTACCAGCGCTGCCGGCCCAGGTTCCATTTCGTGTCTGACTAGAGATCGGTGGCCTTCAGCTCTTACCATGAGGTCATCCACACATTCCCGCAGCATGAGGCCCTGGTAGCGCAAGTGCACGAGCTCTAGCAGGTTGTAGAGGTACGCGCGGGCCCTATTGTTCGCCTCGGTGCACCCCGCCAGCAAGCCATTGTGCGGGACGGTTGCACCTGAGCTATAGACGTCTCTGACGCGGATGATGCGGGGGCTGAGGTAGAGCAGGCAGGACATATAGAGGACCACTGGGGAGAAGTCCAGTTTCGTAGCCAGCACACACAACAAGCTGATGCCCACGCGGTCGTAGAACTTCATGGTGTCCAAGAAAAGTGTAACCACGTCCGTGTCACCCCTCATGGCCGATACTTCGTCAAGGATGAGCGTTGTTAGCGCAGCCTGCAATGACGATGAACCTTTGATGGCCTTGTCCCAGAAGCCCGCCTTGGTGTCGCACCACTCGCCAGTGAGGTGCCTGTTCGTACGTCCCCATATCCTCGCTGGCATTGGAAGTAACCCGATGGGTCTTTCATCGCCCGTGGTGATAGCCTCGCCTTTGGCCATGATAACTTCTGGACGCAAGAGTTCAGTATCTGGACTGATTATTGCTTCGCCTCTTGACTGACTGCCTGCAGGGAAGCTCGTGACCATTGATCGGTTGATTGTGCCGTCTGTAGTGGGATGGACTTGAGTGCCGCGTGCACGTCATCCATGGTGTACTCTACCCAGTCGGTGTCGAGCTGCTCGCGGGCCTTGCGCCTGAGGGTCTTCATGCTGTCGGTGAGGGCGCTACCGGCCGAGTGTGTAGTCCAGCGCTCCTGCTATTTTGACGCTCTGGCATCAAGGGTTCCTAGCGTGTGGGCAATGACCTGGTGGTTGTGGATTGCCGTGTCGTGCAGCTCCTTCTTCTCGTGCTTGGAGATGTAGCGGCGGGCTCTATTTAGGCTGCCCTGGAGTGAGGTCTGGGCCCTCTCTCGCACTGAAACCTGTGCTGCTGTCCAAGTAGCTTTGGAGTGGGCCTCCGAGAAAGATCGGGGCTTCGCAAGCACCTCCGAAATCGTCTCTGATGGCGGGTACGCTGGATCATATCGGACCTGATGGAGGAGCATGCTGAGCTCGTCCAAGAGGGACATCTCGCCTTCTGGGCAATCCTGGGAGGCCATTGCCCTCATCTTCTGCACCGTGTCGACCAAGTTGTCCAGGAGCTGCCTTGGACGTACTGTAGGGCTTGTGTTATCTGACATCTCGGCATCGTCAGTATCCTGGTCATCATCGGATCGCTGCCCGTCGTCATCAGGCGGCGCCTTGTCTTGGAGGAGGCCTCAAAACATTTGGCGAGTAGCCCCATGGAGTCTCCAGTGTTTATTGATGGCTGTTTTCCCGGCTTCAGGGTCATGATCGAGCTTAGCTATCCAGCCAAATAGGGCTTGCCGTCTTGGAGAGGCACGCCGCCACTCCTGCACTATCTGATCCAACGGCCGTCCTTTATGGTGTGCTTGAAGGTGTCTGGCATACTCGATGTTCCAAGGGAGTAGTAGGTAAGCCAACAGGTGCGGTTCGCACCATCGCATCCAGTCGGACGGTTCCTGCCCCTTCTCGCTTGATAACCCAGTGGTCCAAGTAGCTGCCCAATCCGCGACAGATTCAATGAGGCCTCGCACTGGTTTGGGGGGAGAAGGCACTGTCGGATCACGTCCTTTGAGCATGAGCTCCTCGGCCTGGTGCAGGTGGCTGAACAGCTCTGTTTCTCATGCGATGGTGGGTTCCTCCTGCTCGTTCTCGCTGTCACTCTCGCTGGTGGTGTTGTTAGCCTCGGGTTCACCATTGGGCGCAACTTCTCCGGCGACCTTAGACAGGGCGGCCCCGCGCGGTTCGAGGCCCCAAGCCGCGGGCCCCAAGGGAGGTCGGTCGTCGGCAACCCTGTCATCGGGCACAGCTCCGTCGCCGTGTCCCCCGCGGCCCCTTCCAGCCTCCTGAGGCCCGCTCTCCAGACGCCCGAGAGGCCCCCCCACCCCCCCCCGAGACGTCCGCATTATTGGCAACTATCGGAGTGCGGCGCGATAGCGAGCATCCGATGCTAGAGTGCTCTGGCCGTTCTGCATCTCGCAGACTCCCCCGTGGTAGAGGACGCGGTTAACCTGGGTCCTCAGGTTCGCGCTGCAACAGCTCCAGATAGTCGAGGCCGTCGTCGTACCGGTTGATCGCATCGAAGGGGTCGGCCTCTGCGTCGTCCATGGTGGTGGTCACGGGGATTGAGCGAGGCTCAGCGCGAGGGGTGTACGGCCAAGCAGTCGAGACAGCGTGATCAGGAAAGTGTAGCTGGCTTACATATGGGATATCTGTCCACGGGTAACACTGGTATGACGGCGTGCGAGCGACCAGACGCGCTATAGGGTCTTACAGTACAGCGTCAGCAGTTTGTTGGTCTCGTTGGTCTATCTTTTTGGGCCTGATGTTGGCAAAGTTTGTGTCTTTGTTTGATTGGCTCCTTTCGCACTGCTTGACGATGACTTGAAGCTGGCTGGCGAGGCTGATCCAAGCGTTGGTCTCCATTTGATTGGTGCCCGCTTGGATGCGCGAAGGGTCGGGCTGGCGTATCATCTGCTCAAGCCGATAGCGCAGCGGCTGCCCTCTGAGTCGCCCGTCGCTGACCGGTGTTTCATCCGACAGGCTGAGCAAAGATGCCTCCGCTGCCATAGTCCATCTGCCATACAACTCGGCGAGATCGCAAGCTGCAGCTGGATCGAGTGCGTAGGCTGTGCACTGCTGCGTCTCGGAGCTGGCGTCCAAGATGGGGATCTCCTGAATCTGAGCCTTGTGGTATTCCCAAGCGTCGGTGTCCACGATGTACGGCACCTTCTTGGCGTCGTGGTCCTGCAGCAGGTGGCTGTGGACGTCGGTGCCGTGGTCAATGAGGTCTCCATCTTCAGTATGGTGTAGCTGCGCGTGGCGGTGTCGATCATTCTGCTTTCCCTTGGGCCCTTTCTCGATCTGGATCACATGGTCGGGGATCTCGATGGGGGCTGGCAGAAGGGGCCTGTTGCACATAACTGCAGCTGGTCTCGAGTGCATTCGTATCTACCCACGCGCGGTTGCCACGGCACCTGGTAGACTGGCTCGACGGATTTGACGAGCGGCAGGAACGTTGGCGAACATAGACCCCATCTATCACACGCCTTGAGCTTCCTGCACAAGTGAAATCGCAGTTCGGCAGGAGGTACTCGGCTGCAAATGCCTCGTGCCAACGTGAGGCCTTGAACTGCTCTGGTGTACTGTTGGAGTCGCCATAGACCATCCACGGCGTGCCCAGTGTGCGCACGAGTGTCAGCAACTGGTTGAGCTTGGAGATATTGACTGGTAGGTCCAGCCCTTTGGTGACGTGCCTGAGGCGGACCATGGTGACCGCCGTATCATGAAGCTGCTGGCCCAAGAGGTCTTCGCCACCCACAGTGGCCAGATGCGGAAATGTATTGAACTGCCTCGCCCGCGCCCAGAGAGCGTCCCCTGAGCTGCCCTTCCCTAACGTTGGCGTGGCTGGTGATGTCGTGAACTCAGAGCGCCATCACATGCCTCTGAGGTGTCGCTGCTCGTCCTCTAGCTGCTTGCCATACAGGTGGGCTTCCACAAAACAAACCCCATGAAATCGCATGGCGCATCCCTGCAGAACTCTCGGACGGCGTAGGAGAAGTTGCTGATGTTCGCGTAGAAATCGCAGGTCTCGCTGCAAGGGGCGCTGGAAGCTCGGGCTAAGAGCACTGCGGTCCCCCGCTTCTGCTTGCGCTCTTGGTGGCCGCCACCTGAGCTGCTCGAACACGGGTCTTCTCATCAATGAAGCGCTTGACTTCCTCGGCATCCGTGAAGTCGTACGTTTTGGCGGTCGGGGCGGTATATGTGCCTTCTTGCTGAACGGTATCCGTGGCCGCAGGGGCGCCACGGTGGTCACCTTCGTGTGCTTTTGCGTTTCTTGACTGTGATGGTCTCTCGGTGCTTCTTGGCGGTGGCGACGGCGTCTCGAGCCTGCTCGCCTGTGCGGCGGTGGCTCTCCATAGCCTGCTTGGCCTGCTCGTGCACGAACTTCGCTTGGTCGTAGGCGGCCCTCTCCTCGGGGCTGAGGAAAGCCAGATCGCTTCCTTCCAGAGCGGGGAACTTATCTTCACCATCCTCTGCGACTTAAGTATGAGATGGAGCCCCTGTTCGACTGTCCCGAAGAAGAGCTGAAAGCCGCTCCACTTCTGCTGAGACTTGCTGGGTTTCGTCGATGTTTCTGGTGGGCGTCTCGGCCAGCTCGTCCTGCCAGGCCGCAGCCCTCTGCAGCTGTGACTTGAAACGCTCTTGCTGCCCTTGGAGTCGTCGCAGGGTGGCTGCTGAGTCTTCAAGCAGCTTGGCGGTGGGTTTGGCTGGCGGTGGGCTGGGCTCTGGTGCCTTGGGGAATTCCGCAGCCAAGATCCGAGCTCCTGCTTCGTCTCCTTTCTCTTTGAGGGCCTCCACTGCCTTCTGCATGGTGGCGGCGATGGCTGGATCCGTCGTTGCTGTGTCCAGCTGGAAGCGCACCACGGAGCCTGGTCGAAGGAGCGTGGTCCAATCGAAGATGCCGCACTTGTTGCATTTCTCTCGTCCTGGCTTGAGCGCCTGTGACTTCCATATCCAACTGGTGCCAGGAGGGCACTGAGGACAAACCAAGTAATCGTTATTGCGCTTGCTGCTCGGCGTTTGTGAACGAGGCCTGCCCTTCGGACCCTTGGACCCGCTGCGGGCCATATAGTAGCCGTTGTCGTTGTTCTGGCCTTGCTCCAGCGTCCCCACAATAGATGTTGGCCAGAGAATAGATATCTTGATCCCAGGGATATCGCTGGCTCGGCTGAGCCACCCCTCAAGTCGGAACAAAAGTGTGCTGCGCGCGGGCTTGCACGCAGCACCAGATGTGGTGCCGGCCCTGTGACTTTCGGTATGCAGAATTGCGCTGGCCAGCCCTGCAAGCCGAAATTACTTGAGCCAATGGCTACGGAGGAGGAGGAGGAGGGGGAGGAGGGGGAGGGGGAGGGGGCGATCGGGAGGGCAGCTTGGTTACCTGCTCTCTCTTGTGCGTCCATCAGGGAGGAAGGTTTTCTCCACGCCCAGACGGGGGGGGCGATTGTCTGGGTGCCAGCGGCAGGGCGCACAACCACAAGAAGGAACGGCGGGAGGAGGAGGGGGAGGAGGAGGAGGACGAGGAGGAGGAGGAGGAGGCGGCGGGGGGTGGGATGATGATGATGATGATGATGATGGTGATGATGATGATGATGATGATGATGATGATGATGATGATGATGATGATGATGATGATGATGATGATGATGATGATGATGATGATGATGATGATGAGGATGATGAGGAGGAGGAGGAGGGAGGGGAGTAGAAGGAGGAGAAACAGGAGGGAACAGGAGAGGAGGCGGATGATGATGATGATGATGATGATGATGATGATGATGATGATGATGATGATGATGATGATGATGATGATGATGAGGATGATGAGGAGGATGAGGAGGAGGGGGATGAGGAGGAGGAGGAGGAGAGGAGGAGGAGGAGGAGTTGGAGGAGAAGGAGGGGGAGGAGGGGGAGGAGAAGGGGGAGGGGGAGGGGGCGATCGGGAGGGGGGGCGACGGCCTGGGTGCCAGCGGCAGGACGCACAACCACAAGAAGGAACGCCGGAGGAGGAGGAGGGGAGGAGGAGGAGGAGGAGGAGGAGGAGGGGGAGGAGGAGGAGGAGGAGGAGAAGGAGCAGGAGGAGGAGGAGGAGGGATAGGAGGAGGAGGAGGGATAGGAGGAGGAGGAGGAGGAGGAGGAGAAGGAGCAGGAGGAGGAGGGTAGAGGAAGCAGACGCTACGAGCTTTCGCTCCGCGGCTTGCCTAATAACAAAAAAGGGAGGGAGGAGGACAGAACTCTCCCCCCTCCCCCCTCCGCCCTCCTGCGCAAGGCCCCCTGCGGGCGCGCACGAGGCAGAAATCGTGGGGGGCGGGTGCTGGGATCTGGGCAGCGCGAGCGCACACCCGAGCATCCCACCCCCCCAGTCCCGATGAGGGGGCGGGATGCGTGCGCGCGTCTCCTGGCAATTCCCGACAGCAGACGAAGCCAGCACGAAGATAACATCGGGTGAAGATACATTGAGCATGTCTGAGATCTGGCGGCTCCGGAAGATCTATGTGGCGCCACGGCCTTCTCAGAGCGTTCTAGTACGCTAGTACGCTCTGGATGGGATTTACCCTTGTCCTGGCCCCGTCCTCCTCCTCCTCCTCCTCCTCCTCCTCCTCCTCCTCCTCCTCTACAGTTTCGAACGGCAGCGAGTGGCGCAGCATCCAAGGCTGACGCCGCGAGACAAGTTGGAGTAGGAGAGAGAAGGCCTGCGCGAGCGCCCAGAGGGATCTAAGCGACCTCGATGGGGCATACCCCAGAGACGGGCATAACTTCATGACCTTTGGCCAGGCGGAGGGCTGCTCGGAAGGGGAGCGACCCTCCTCCAACGCCTACTCCTCCTCCTCCCCCTCCTCCCGCTCCCCGTCCCCCCCACCCCCTAGAGAGGAGGCGGAGGAGGCCCGCTGGCAGGACCAGCCATCATCGACTCGTTCGCAGACAAGACCGAACCAAACTCGACTGCACCATGAAGGCACCAACTATGCTGTGTGAACATCGGGACCCATCGGACTGCCGAGAGATTCAGACCGAAAAGGGATCGGTCCAGCCTAGAAATCCTGGAGCTCTTTTGGGCCGTCTTGGAGCCCTGCAGGGCCGCCTTGGGTCCCCTCGAGGGCCTGTTGGGTTGTCTTGGGTTGGGGGCATTGGGGCTGGGGCCTCCTGGGCCACATTGGGCCGGCGGGCTTGGGCTGTGTTGAAGCCTTAGTGGGTCCTGGAAACGACAGGGGCGACTGTGAACCGTTTCCATCTTGTTTTTTGTTTCACAGGTTCCGTCGCTGAATTACTCACGTGTTTGGCGCCGTTGTTTTGCCGTATTGGCGCCGCTGATCCAAATCACCAATTTTGTTACCAAACCCAAACCGTTTTCGAACCGGTTCCGAATGCCCATAGGATCCCCAGAATGCCCAGGCCGTTTCGGTGAACCGTTTTGATTTACAGTTTCGACGGGCCGTGTTTGTTGCCGCGTTCATCGTCAAGAGGCGAGTTTTTATCGAAAGTACAAAAGACACCATCAGTATTCGCACCCCGACAAGCGTAGCCGTTTAGTAGACGCCCCCGAGGAAGGATCCGACCAGGGCAGGGCTGTTTAGTAACCGCCCAGGGTCGCTTGTAGAAAACGCCACCCATGGGGACCGGGGTGGTCGTCCCCCTCGAAGTCTTGGAATCCATAACTAGAGGCCTCCCAGATGGGGTTCGAGTACAGTCAACCCGGATAATAAGGACGCACGATAAGAATGCAAAGGCCTTTGAAGGCCATGCCGACACTGAGCGAGCGGAGCACGGCCAGCGAAACCGGCCAAGGACGGGAGGAAGGGGAAGGATGCAAGAGCATCCTAAGAAAGTCGCTCATCCTTACTCTGCCGGTTGACTGTAGGTAGGGTCGGAAGGCCGCGCCGCATCCATCGTCGATGCGTCGGCGATGCATCGGCAATGCAGCGGCGACGTCGGCGATGCATCGGCGACGCTGGCGTGGAGAAAATTGGGCCCCAGATCGAGTCGCTCCGCCGATGCATCGGCGATGCGGCACAATCCTGCGACCCCACCTGCTCGGACCCAATCCGGGAGGCCTGGGCTCTTTCTGCCTCTGCCACCGCTCGGACCCTCGAGTCGAGGCTCGCGGGTCGAAAATTAAGGGATCGATGGATCGAGGTTCGATGAATCGAGGAGTCGGGAGGCCTAGGAGCCTTGGGGCCCATATTCGGCGGCGAGGCTGGGGGGGGAAGTGAGACGAGGCGGGCCTTCTCGAAAGGCTCGGATGTCCCCAGCCTTGTAAGAAGTTCCTTAAGCCTTCACCAAAGACACAGAAGAACTTCTCAGAAGGAGCCCAGGGCTTCTGAGAAGCCCCGCCGCCTTCAATCTCAGAAGGCCTTTTCCTTCTCACGTCCCCCATCCCCTCGCTCGCCGGCGGACAGATGGATCTGGATCCTCGCCACCGCTCGGACGTCCATTCCGCTTCGTGCGTGCACTTCTTCGCAGGATGGCCCAACATGCTCCTCGACGTTCCTCGCCGACGCAAGACGCACACGTCCGAGCGATGCCTCGGTTCCATGTGGGTCCTGCAATCGGCGGGGCGCCCCCAGGGCGCGGCCACGAGGCCGCTCTGTGCGGGTGTGGAGGCCTCCCGGATGGGGTCGGAGCAGACGGGGTCGGAGGACCGCGCCGCATCGCCGATGCATGGGCAATGCATCGGCGATGCATCGGCGACCGAGTGGAGAAGATCGGGCTCCGATCCTCCGACACCATCTGCTCGGACCCCATCTAGGAGGCCTAGAGTAAAGTTGGGCATGTCCCCCATACAAGCGGGCTTTGGAAGAACACTTATGCATACTCCACGAATACTCAAAGCATTATTAAACAACCAATCGCCCCCAGACGATTTGTTGACCATTTGTGAACATCACTCCTGTATGCCAAACTTAAACCCAGGAGGCCCAGAGCTCTGCGGGCGGGGCCGCGGTCCTGCGGGTCGCCCCCGGGCCAGGCCGCGCCGCTGACGCCCAGGAGGGGCGGCACCTCCGCCGCGCAGGCCTGCGGCTCTCGGCGGCGCTCGGGGGGCGTCGGCGTCGGCGGCGTTGCACGGGGCGGAGGTCGGCGTCGAGCCCAGGAGGAGGAGGAGGAGGAGGAGGAGGAGGAGGAGGTCGGTGGGTCGCTGCTTCGGGCCTCGGGTCGAAGGTCAACCACTGAAACACATCGACGGATAACGCAGGCGATATGTACGACCTGCAGCGCGCGCACATCCAAAACAAAACAATGGCAGGCCCTCCCTGGGAGCCCCGAGGTGTATGTTCGCTCGACAACTTGCGGTGCGATTCGAGGAGTTTGAAACGCTCCATCACACTGAGTTTCCCGAACTGCTTTGCATTTACTTCGCGTCTGCTTCGCTGTGTGCTGTGCTGTACACGTGCTGAAATCTTGCTACTGCTACTGTGCTGAGTGGGAGAGGGCCCGCACCCTTTTGCGGGCTTCGGGAGGGGAAGAGAAAACACATATGATAAATAATCATTCGCTGGTCTCCCTGCGGTCTCATTCGGGGAAGCTCTCGCTGGGCTTCCGTTGTCGCCGCCGCCAGTGGCCTTCTCACTGGCCTCTGGCTGGCATCCTGCAGCCTGCCGACGTCCTCTTGCTTGCCGACACGCTCCGTCTAGGCTAGCTGGTCGATTGCCAGCTGGAGCAGCCTCTCCTGGTGCCCTCTCGGAGCGGGGCCAGGCTTGATCTCCGCCCCCAGCTGCTCGGCGCACTTCAGGAAGCAGGCCTCGATGGCGTGCTCGCTGATCGCCACCGTGATCCGAGCCTGGTTCTCCTCCCAGCACTGCGACACTCGGCACCCGCGGATCATCGCGGCCAGGGCTTCGATGTCCATGGGCTCGAGCCTGCCGTAGATCACCGCCCGCTCGTCTTTGTTGCGCAGCCCCACCTGATCGGCCGCGTCGCGCGCGGCCGGCGCCATCTGCAGGAACGCCTACACGCAGGCGGGGCACATGGTCAGCTCTGGAGCGCGATGCTGGGCGGGGTCGGCAGCGCGCAGGTCGCGAAGCCTCTGTGCCTCCGACGCGCACGCCCGCCCGGTCGTGAACCCCGCCGTCGCCAATGCCGAACTTCCCGCCGCCAACAGCGCGTGGCATGTCGTCGCCATCAGCTGCCTGGCATTGAATGAGTTGCCGAGGATCGCCCGCGCCATGACGGGAATGAGCTTCAGCGCGAGCTGCATCTCCATCGGCGGGAGGCGGCCCCGCGCGTCCTGCGGCAGGCCGTAGCTCTGTGCCAGCTCGCCCTGTGCCTCGCGACGCCCTCCGCGGGCCCTCTGGGCGAGGGGGGCCGCGGCCGCGCCTCCCGCCGCGGGCTGCGGGGCTGGCGCCGCGGCGCGCGCGCCGGCGCTGCGGCCGCCGCCGAGAGCGCGGCGAGGGCGCGCGCCACTGCTTGCACTCGCGGAACAACTGCGGTCAGCGCGCGCTGGCGCGACTCGGCGACTGCGGGGGCGGGAGCGGCCCTGGGCGGCTGCTGCCAGCAGCACCTGCGGGCTGAGGCGGCGGGCCACGATCGCCACCAAAACACGGCGCGTCGCGAACGCGCGCCCGCGCTTGACGCCCTCGGCGTCCAGCAGCTCGCAGCACCAGGTCGCGGTAGGCGGCGGAGGCGCCGCGCCATCGCCAGTGGGGGGTTGGCGTCGTCCGCCACCGAGCCGTCGCCCAGCAACGTCGGCGCCCTGTCCAGCGGCAGCCCGCCGAACGCGACCGCGAGCTTCTGCGGGTGGCGACCAGGGAGACGAAGCCATCGCTGATACTGACAAAGTCGCCGAACACGGAGCTCACTCTGCGCGAGGGCTACGCCAAGCCTCCTCAACACTGTCTCGTCTGTCATTGCTTTGTAGCGAAACATTGCTTGCCCTTGCCATCGCATCGAGGTGAACCATCGCCAGCGAGAAGAGGGATTTTCTGGCCAGCGGCACCAGCGAGAAGGCGACGGCCAAGACTCGAGGGTACTTTATCCAGCGGTCGGTGTTGCGTCTCGCTGGGGATCAGAACATTAAATCCACTGTGCGCCGCCTCCTGCAACACAGACCCGAACGCGATCCGCGTCAGTCGCCAGATGCGGCTGCGCGCCCAGAAGCGGCCCATGCTGTAGTATCCCCTGCGGGCAGCTTGCAGCCCGCGCCGAAGCTCGGTCTGCGCGCCGCTCGTGATAGTTGTATGGATGCCGAGAGCCACGTTGTCGTGCTGCACCGCTCCCGCGATGGCCTCGTCGCCGCTGAACAGCCGGCGCACCTCGTTCTTGGGGCCGCGGCCTAGGAAGCAGGGTGACACCGAACTGTGGGACGGGTTGCGCGTGTAGCCGTGGGGCCCCAGGGCGCGCTTCAGCTCGTTGTGGAAGTGGCGGGACACGTAGCCAGCGTTTAGCGCCGAAACTACGATGCTCGCGTGGTTGGTGTCGTCGGCGTTGATCCGAGCGCCCAAAGGTACCGCAGCGTCCAGTAGCGGGCACCACGCCGTGCATGGCGCCTCGCTCGGCCAGATCGCGGCGTCGATGTCCGCGCGCGGGGTGGGCGGAAGGAGTGGCAAGGCCCTCCACTCCGAGTAGGTCGTCGGAGTCTCGGGCAGCTCGTGCGTCGCCCAGGCAGCCGCGCGAAGCCGTCGAAGCCATGCCGCGATGGGCTCGCGGCGGGTCCAGGCGAAGAACAGCGCCGCGGGGGCGTCGCCCATGAAGGCGCTGCAGCGGTTGCGGGGGCCCTGGCCCCCGTCGGCCCCTGAAACGCGGAACGTGCTCAGCTCGCGACGCTGGTGGAAGAGCCCCCGCCCCTCGGGGCGCGCCGCCGTCTCGACCGTCTGGCGCAAGGCGGCGAGGGCTGAGGGGCTGAAGGCGTTGCTCATGTCCTCCATCGCAGCGGGGGTTGGAACGCCGAGGCGCCGAAGACGGCTGAGAAGCCCTTCTTGGCACAGGAGACCGCCCTCTCGGATGCGACTTCGCTGACAGCCGTGCTCTCGAGGCGGTGGTTCGTTTGGTGGAGCGCGCCGCAGTTGAGCTCTGTGCCAGGTTTTCCCGACCCTACACAGGCCATGGATGAAGCGCCCGGCGTTGAACTCGGACTTCCCGTTGTGTTTGTCCAGCCTCGTAGTGACCGAGCGGTGCCAGATGAGGGGCGCGCGCCTGACCCTCGTTCAGGGCGCGTTCGATGATGGACGCGTCGATCCCCTCGTGCACTTGTCCTGGCCCGCTCCGATCGCCAGCGAGGCGATGCCGAAGCTGTAGCTCGACTCGAGGCTGAGGGGGTCCGTCAGCTTCCTCCTCGTCTTCATCTCCAGGGCGCCGCGGGCGCCGTCGCCGTCGTCGGCCATCGCGCCGACGCCAAAGCTCGAGCGCACGCCGAAGTACTTCCGCAGGGGCACTGCGTGGGGGGGGGCAGCACGACGTCGAGGCGACTTCGATAGAACGTCAACCAATTTCTCGAAGTCCTCGCGGCCGGCGTCGAAGTGGTAGCACGCGTGCATCGGGGCGCCGGGCAGGGAGCCCAGGTATTACTGACGATACTCCGTGAACTCGATCGGGATCGCATCTGGGCCGCCGTTGGCGCCGACCTGGGCGAAATGCTTTGCGATATCGGCCCGCCGTGGGAGGAGGCTGCCCGCGGCGTTGTAGCGCCTGCGCCGCGGCCCCTTGCGCCGCGCTGCCAGCAGGTGGCCCAAGCGCCATGCTTCGGCAAACTGCCGACGCTGCCGCGCCTCATGCATGTCGTCGACGAGGAGCTGCACCTCGCTGTCGATGCGAATTCGGCGGTGGCCACGTAGCGCGCGCGAAGCCCTGGCAAGAGCGAAGGCCATGCCCGTGACGTCGCAGCCCGCCTCTCGAAGAGCGCGCCGGTATGCCAGAAATCGAGGCCGCTCCTCCCGACGTCGCTGAACTCGCTGCGACACTGGCGCTAGCCCAGCGAAGTGCTTCTGGGCCACCGATTGCAGCTGACCCCCTTGGCCTCGCCAGGGGCCTTCGCAGCGCACAGCTCGTGGAAGTAGTCGGGGCGCTGCGAGAAGGCCTCCTCCAGTTCGTTGGCGAACGCCGAGACCCCCTTACCTGACTGCAGCGCCTGGCTCAGCCGATGGAAGTCCCACTGCGTCCTCGGCCGCGCGGGAGGCGCCTGCAGCGTGTAGATCACCTACATCAAGATGGGAACGTGGTCCTGTAGACCAGGTCGCGGCATCAACTCCAGGCGCATATTGGCGCTGTTGAGCGGAATCACCGTCTGCACTGACGGGGCCTGCCACGCGAAGATGGCGACGTGGTCGATGTGCGTGGCGCGCAAAACTCCGCGAAATGCCGGCCCAACCTCGAAGTCGCTCGTCGCCACTCTGAGCGCGAACAACTCTAGCATCTCGTCGGCTGCGTAGTGCTGGACCTGGCGCCCGTGAGGTCCGAGAGCGGGCGAATCCACCTGCTCGTCGACCTGCGCACCTCGCTGGCGAATGCCCAGTCCGTCGTTGAGGCTGAAGCCAAAGAAGTGAGCGGACCGCCCTCGAGCCCAGGTGAGGGTCTGCTCGATCCAGTTGCATATCGCATCGACAGTGTCCCTGTGTGCTGCATGCGCGGTGCCCATCGTGACCGTCTCGGCCGCACTTCGACGGCACGACGGTCTCGGCGGAAAGGCGGCCATCGGCACCCGGATATCAGACCGTCCGCTCCGAAGGCGTGTCAGAGAAACTCGGCCTCTCAGCATCGCTGGTGCTGGAGGGGTGTCGACCAGGTGCGGCGTGCGGAAGACCCGTTTGCGTAGCAATATGGTGCAACCGCAGCTCTTGTTCGTGTATGGTCTGGGGCTCCAGCCAGAACGAAGGGCAGTATGGAAGGGCAGCGGCGGCCGAAGAGTGTCGACATCCCGTCGTTTCTCACCAGTCCCGGTCAGACATACCACGTCCACAGCACAGTCTCTCCTCTGAACTCGCACTCAGGGCATTCCAGTGGACAAACTTCACACCTCGAGAAAATCCAGAGCAGCAATCCAGATACACACATCAAATACGAAACAACACAGCAGCGACGTCGCCAGGAGCCGCCACCTCACCGCGGGAGGAGGGCGCGCCGCCATGCGGGGCGCGGAGTATGAATGCGCATCAGTTGGCGCCTGCCGCCCCTGAATCACCGCCTCGGGCAGGGGGGGCTAGGAGGAGGAGGGGGAGGAGGAGGAGGAAGAGGAGGAGGAGGAAGAGGAGGAGGATCAGGAGGAGGAGGGAGGAGAGGGAGGAGGAGGAGTCAGGGGAGGTCCGGGCTCGAGGCGTAAGGTTTTCGTGCGTTTTCGTCTGTTCTCGCTGGTGTACCAGCCTCGGGATGCGTTGCATCGGCTGCGTCTCGCCGAGAGGCACCCAGGGGTGCCCAGAACGTCCCGAACGGCCGCAGGAGTTCCCAGTCATGACCCTAAAGTCACCGCGCGTTCGAGGGGGGGCAGGACGTCCCGGAAGGCGGCGGAGCTTCTAAGAATCCCTCGCGCCTTCCGAAGAGCCACCTCCGTCTTCGGAGAAGGCTTAGAAAATTTCTCAGAAGGCCAGAAGCCATCCGAGCCTTCTGAGAAGCCCCGGGCCCCCTCTGAGCTCCTCCCTGGGCTCGCCGCCGAGAATCTACACTACCAGTGTCCTGGGGAAATACTACAACTCTCTCGCGCGGTCCGTCGGACTCCCCGCGCAACTCGGTGTCCATGTGCACGCGGGGAAACCGCACGGTTTCCGTTTGTCTGTCGTCGGCCGCGGCTGGTTCAACATTTAGGTTGGGCGACCTGGGGGGATCCTAAGATCCGAGGGTGGCCTCGAGGCTGGTCTCCTCCTCCTCCTCTTCCTCCTCTTCTTCCTCCTGTACCTCCTCCTCCTCCTCCTCCTCCTCCTCATCTTCCTCCTCCTCCCACTCCTTACCCTCCTCCTCCTCCTGCTTCTCCTCCTCCTTCTCCTCCTTCAGCTCCTCCTCCACAATCTTCTCCTCCACCTCCTCCTCCTCCTCCTGATCCTCCTCCTCCTCCTCCTGCTCACCCTCTTCCTGTTTATCCTCCTCCTCATCCTCCTCCTCCTCCTCCTCCTCCTCTTCCTCCCTCTCCTGTACCTCCTCCTCCTCCTTTTCCTCCTCTTCCTCGTCCTCCTCCATCCCTCATCCCGAAAAATAACTCCTCCCTGCCGCACCCTGAGACGTGTCAACGGGGCGGGCCAGGCGTTTTGTCCGAGGCTTCCCACCAGCCCTCTGGGCAAGAGTGGTTTAGCAAGTTTCCTCTCCCATCTTTCCTCCTACCCTGCGGGGAGGGGTTTACCCCTCCCCCTGCCCCCTCTCCCTGGGTCTGCAGAGGGTTTTCTGCGAGGGGTTTTAGCGTCCACTACGGTCTCGGCAAGGAAGTCAACCCAGCTGAGTGTACTAAGGTGTTGGCCACATGTTGGCCTACTGGGGGGGGAACCCGAATTAAGGAGCCCCGCTCCTTTGATCGATGTTCTCCCAGATGGCCCCACGCTGGCCCCCGAGACTCCCAAGGGTACCCCAAGACGCTCCCAAGGGGCCCCCACGTGCCCCAAAGATGCCGCCAAGAGGCCCACAAGAAGCGCCAAGAGGCCCCTCAGAGGCATCCAAGCTTCACCAAGAGGCCTCGGCGAGAAAGCACACACCTTGATGTGACTAAGGTTTTGTTAGTAAGGTGTTGGCCACGTGATGGCTTCCTGGCGGGGGGGGGGGCTGAAGTACTACGGCCCCTCCTTTGATCGATCTTCTCCAAGATGCCCCCCGAGGCTCCCAAGGGTAGGCGGCCCAGAGAGGTGCCCAGGTGGTCCCGAGGGGACCCCAAGAGGCCCCCAAGGTGCCCCCCAAGAGGTTCCCAAGAGACCCCCAATAGGCCCCCAGAGGCCATCAAGAGGCACCCACGACGCCCCAAGACGCCAAACACCTCGGAAGGATCCCAGGAAACTCTCGAAAAATCCGAAACGACTCCGAGAGGCATCCAAGAGGCCTGAACATGTTGTTTGTTCTCGCCCTCCTCCTCCTCCTCCACTTCCTCCGCTTCCTCCTCCTCCTCCTCCTCCTCCTATTCCTCCGCCTTCTCCCTCGTCCCCCTCCCTCATCTCTTCCTCCAACTCCTCCTCCTGCTCCTTCTCCAACTGCTCCTGCGCCTGCTCCTCCGATTCCTCCTCCATCCTCCCCCATCTTCCGCTTGATTTCCTGATCGGCGGGGTTACGCGAAGCGGTTATGATTTTACAACATATCAAGGATGGAGGGCGGGTCGTGTTCAAAATGTGGCGCTTGCCTTAGCGCCGCACGCTTGCGTCTTCGAAATTGTGATCCGCTTCCAGGCTGGAAGTCGGTCCGTTTTCAACTTGTGGATCTCAGCTTAGCGTCGCGCACATATACCTTAAAACATTGGACAAATCTTTCAGGATGGAGGGCGGTCCGTTTTCAAAATGTGACTATCGCCGTAGCGCCGCGCACATTCGTCTTGAACAATTGCAACAGTTTCGAGGACAGAGGGCGGCTCATGTTGAAACTGCACCCCACGCCTTAGCGGACATTTGTCTTAGGAGTTCGCAACACTTCCACCAATTCGTACGGTTGAGAATCAAGGAGCATTTGCATTGGTACGGTTTACGACTCTCAGGACGCAACAGCCACGCTGATTCGCGGTGTTGACGTCTCAGGGAGGACGTTCTGACGCCAGCTAGAATTGTCAAGACGCAGTCGCCGCGCGGATTTGCTGCGTCGAAATCCAGGAAGAGTGCTCTTGCATGATTGAAGATGCGCAGACGGTTGTTGTCCAAGGGATCCCGCAATGCAAACAAACCCGTGTAGGGACCTGTGGAGAAGGACCCGGGAGGCAGTGTTTACTGCAACATCGCTGATGCGACTTGGGCTCGCACTGGTCCTCCTCTCCCTCCTCTTCCTCCTCCTCTTCCTCCTCCTCTTCAGCCTCCTCCTCCGCCTCCTCCGCCTCCTCCTCCGCCTCCTCCTCCTCCTCCTCCTTCCCCCCGGCCTGCTCGGCCAGCAGCCCCTCCAGCTGGTCGAGGGCGACGGGCGCTCCCCCCTGCGAGTGCTCCCTGTTCAGCCACAGCGCCCTGGGCGGGGGCACGCGGGAACTCGGAATCCCGAAACGGTGCGGCTACCGACCGTGCGGTGACCTCGAATCCCCCCAAGACCTCAGCGCACGGTCCGCCAGCGCATGGTTTTGGGCCCCTGGATGCTCCAGTCGCCCGAGACATCCTCGGAGAACGACACGAGTCCCAAAACCGCGCGGTGACCCCGAATCCCCACCGACTCACCACACGGTGTGGTCACCACCCCGTTCGGGGGCCCCCAAGGAAGCCGCGGCAGCAACTGGGTCTCCCGAGCGGCGTGGGGGGGTCTGCGCTGCATGGTCCGCGAGAAAGTCGGTCAAGACTCGGGGGCGCGCAAACATGGATTAACGATCCATGGATTTGGCGCGCGGTCGCCAAATCCATGGATCGGGGGAGGTCTCCTGCCCCTGTAGGCGAAGGCGAACAGGAGGAGGAGAACGAGGAGGAGGATCAGGAGGAAGAGGAGGAGGAGGAGGAGGAGGAGGAGGAGGAGGAGGACGAGGAGGAGAAAGAGGAGGAGGAGGAGGAGGAGGAGGAGGAGAGGAGGAGGAGGAGGAGGACGAGGAGGAGAAAGAGGAGGAGGAGGAGGAGGAGGAGGAGGAGGAGGAGGAGGAGGAGGAGGAGGAGGAGAGGGTGGAGGGCAGCTTTCCAATCTGAGCGGCATCGCGCGAACCGTACGCCTGCGGGCGACCTCTTCGCCCTGGGCGGGGCACGAAGGAGACCGCCCAAAACGAGCCCGAGCAGACGGATCGGAAGAACGCGCTGCACCGCCGATGCATCGGCGACACGGGGACGGAGAACACAGGGGTCCGAATCGAGCCGCATCGCCAATGCATCAGAGATGCGGCGATCTCAAAATCCTGGGGTGGTCAAGAGAAACGGCCTGGGATGAAAAAACAGTCCTTCGGCCATGTGAGCGCGGTATGTCCGCAGGCCGACGTCACGCAACAGTCGTGCCGTCGGCTGTCGGCGGGGAAAGACAGGAGGGGAGTGGGTAGCTCCGAGGTCGCCAGCCCAACGGGCCAGAGGCGTGCTAAGATCTCCGCCAACTGCTTCACCGTAGTTCTGCTGCGCGCGCGCGGGGCGGCCCCTCGAGGCCCCTGGACGCACAGTACCCCGACCAGGTCGGGCCAAAGATGGTTTTCCTCCTGGGCGCGGCTTTCAATCGCCACAGAGTCACCCAAGGGGGCCCCAAGAGGCGCGCAAGCCGGTCCAACAGGACTCCGAGTCGTCGAACGCTCGGTGCAAAACACTTTTTAATTCGCGGGTCGAGAGCGCACCTCTTCCGGTCGAAGCTAAGCGGGCCGCGCGAAGCTTGAATTAGGCGGAGGGAGGGGAGGAGAAAGCGGCGGGGCCTCAGGGCGAGGCCGAGGGGAGGCAAAGCCCCAGAGACAGTTCGGTGCAAGACACGCACGATGGCTTCCAGACGGCCCACGACGCGTACACGACCATCGAAGAGGCCTTCAACAGGCCTGCCAAGAGAGAGAGGCTAACATCGTAAAATGTTGGTCTTCTCGCCTTTTCGCCTTTCCGACGGTCCAAAACGGCTCAAGAGGTCCCCAAGGCCGCCCCGAGACGGCTCAATAAGCCTCAAAGAGAGCCCCAAGACGGCACAAGATAGCCCTAAGACAGACAGCCCAAGAGGCGCCCAAGACGGCCCCAGGGGACCCCAAGAGGCACCCCAAGAAGCTCCAAGAAGCCCCAAAAGGGCCCCCAGAAGCCCCAACACGGCCCCCAAGAGGCCTCAAAACTGCCTCACAGAGACCCCCGAGAGGCCAACTACGAGAGCCCAACCAACATCCATGAGGCCTCTGACCCACCAACCAGGCAGGCAAAGTGTTCTCATCGCCTCCGAAAAATGACAGCCGCTCAACGGCACCGCATTGGCAGCATCACCCCGACAAACAACAGCGGCGAGGCAAGATGGACCGGCGGAATGAGCCAAGCGATCAAATAATGTTAGGGCAGAACCTCCAAGGGCTCTTCCAGGAGCCGCAAGAAAACCCGGACTGCTTGTTTTCCCTTCCTGTTTTCATCGTTCACCCCAGGTCGCCGCACTTGACCCATTCTGGCTCCTATTTTGGCCCCTCCAGAGGTCCCCTCTGGGACGAACCCAACGGTTGTTGTTGAGCTTCTTCAGCCTCTCTGCAGTCGTCCTAGCCTCAGGGTCATGTGAAAGACACTCCTCGGCGCGCTTTCTGGGACGAACCCGACAGTTTTGTTCAGTTCCTCCAGCCTCTGTACGGCCGTCCTGGCCTCAGGATCATACGACATAGAGGTCGCTGCTTTCAGTTCCTCCAGGCTCTCTGCGGCCGTCCTGGGCTCAGGGCCATGCGACAGAGAGCTCGCTGAACAGCCCAATGTCCTCTCCATAGAGCCCCACGAGGCCTCCAAGCGGAAGCGACAGCACCAGCACCAAACCATCTCCTATTCGCGCGCACGGAGCGGCCGCCGCTCCCACTGAGTTTTCAGGATTCAAAAATGGTGGGGCGGCGGCGTCTGCCCGCTCAGGGGAGTTCAATTCAATAATGTGAAAGAATTACGAGGGTTCAGTGGGTCCAAGAAGACTCCAGACACAGATATGCGTATATGCATGAAGTGTGCAGATGTACACACATGTGCGAACGAGATTTTAATTGTCAGAGCGAGGAGGCCGAACGATCATTCACTGTCCCTGGGCGCGTGCCTGAAATGAGGTTCTGCGGTGCGGATAGTTGTTGATGCTGTTGTTGCTGCTGCTCTTGTTTGTTGTCGTCGTCCCCCCCGCGACCCGGCCCGCGACCCACCCGCGACCAACCCGCGACCCGCCCGCGGCCCGCCTGCGACCCACCCGCGACCCAATCGCGGCCCACCCCCGACCCATCCGCGACCTGGCCCGCGACGCACCCGCGACACACCCGCGACCCACTCCGCGACCACCCACATTATTTAAACGAAAAACTTGGCGCCTGCTGCGCAATGTGTAAAAGTTAAGCGCCGGCGGCGGGCTTCTTCAGAGCCCCACCGCCCCCTCACTCTTATCCGCAACTGTGGCGTGATACGTAAACATATCCTGATATGTATCAGGAGTGACGTCAGGGGTGACGAGCCGAACGGTCGTACAGCATCCCCGAATGCGTGCCTGAAGGGAACTTCCGCGGTGGGAATGATTGTTGTTTGTTGATGCTGTCGTCGTTGTCGTCATCCTGGTCCTTGATAGCGTCCCGCCCGCGACCCACTCGCGACCATTCCACATAGTTGCGACGGACATCTGGCGCCTGTGACACTCTGTGCAATTTGCTAACATCGGCGTTCACGCGGGCTTTTTTCACAGCCTCGCAAACTGCCAAAAACCCCGCTGCCCCCCCCAGCTCTCATTCGCAACTGCAGAGGCTATGATAAATCCGCAACTGTGCCTCTGGGCACGGCGTGAGCATGTCCTCCGCTCCTTTGCTTAATCCTCTAATCCTCAGCCCTCAAGGAACCCGGACCCCATATTCTAAAATCTAGCGAAGGTTCCCGCATCTCCCCTGGGGTTCCCGGCGTGCCTCCAGGCCCCGTCGCATCCTGTCGCGCGAGCTGTTCTGACCCCCGAGGGCCCCGAGACGGACCAAGAGGGCCGCGAGAGGCCCTCGAGACGGCTCAATAGAATATCCCGACCCGCCGAAAGACCGCCCAATAAGCCCAAGATTGCCCGAAGACGGCACAAGAGGCTTCCAAGCCACAGAAGCAAAACTCATCGATCGCCAAGCGGTTTTAAATGTATTTGGCGTCTTCGCGAGTTCGGCTTCCCAGCGCTCCAAGACGGCCCAAGACAGGCCACAAGACCGTCCCAAGACGGCCCAGAAGGCCCCCAAGAGGGCCCCAAGACGGCCCAAGAGGGCTCCAAGACGGCCCTAGGCGCCTAAGACGCCCCAAGAGGGCCCCAAGAATGGCACAAACTGGGGACACGACCCTCCGCCGAAGGTCCTGGCGCTAGCGCTGGGACCTTCGGTGGAGCTTCCTATGGGGGCACGAAGCGCTGCGCTGGGTGGGTGGGTGGGGCGCACAGGGGCGGTAGAGCTCCGCGCGGGGCCACGAAGCGCCGTGCTGGGCGGGCGCTTCGAGGCCCATGTGGCTTACTTACAACTAGCGGGACGTATAGCCGACTTAGAACTAGTTGCGGAAAACTATGATTTGCACCTGAGATGCTCCACATGCGCGTCTTGTTTAAGGGCGCATCTCATTTTTCGATATCCTGTGGAACGGTTCGCGAGGGATGGTGATTTGCAGATGATGTCCCAAGGGAAAGCCACGCGCCATGAGGCGCAAGCTATTGCAATACTGCTGCACGCATGGCAAGAACATGAAAATCATGCGCAGCTTCTGCGGTGCCCGACTGGCCAAACGCACGTTATAACGTCATCGGTCCTCCTGTAAACTGTAGGGTGCTTCAGCGAGCTGGTCGGCACGCGCACTGGTGTTTGGTCATCGTCGATGTCGCATCTATTCCATCCCACGCACGCACGCCGAGTTGCCATTCGCAGAACCAGACTGGATGGCTCCGACTGCGACGCGGTCCCAAGGTCGCACTGAGTGTGGAACCACACTTGAACGGCTGCGTGGCCGCTACCAACTCCCATCAGGACAACGTCACCTCGATTGAACGAGTCGTTGTCTTGGAAAACTTTGGTGCTGCATACTGCCGCCTGCGTCTTTGGGCGCAAATTCTTCCGCGTTTCGAACAATTTCTTATGCTGCAGATGCTCATGCAACCCAGTTGCAAAGCAGAAGTGTTTCAGGTCGTGGCAATGCTGGGCCACAAGTTGAAGCATCAAGGCTTTCTCTGGGCGTTGCAGGCACTTGTAGCCGTGCGAAAATCGCTTGACCACTTCGTGCTTCCTTTCGTGTGCGAAGCACGGCAGCAACCCGAACTTGCGATACATATCTGCTAGGTGGGGGGGGCCACGTGGAACTTGTATTTCCGGAGATTGGTGTCATAATGCGCCTTGTGTAGCCTCAGATGCCCCATGCCGGCAGAGGAGAGATCGGCGCGGCTGACATCTCCACCGCGCCGACCGCCCACGAAGGGGCCACAGGCATCCTCCAGGGAGAAGAGCTTGAGCAAACATGTCAAAGGCCAATCGCTACAATAGAAGCAACACCGTCAGGATAAGAAATCATAAGTAAGACGTCGCGCCTGCGTGATACCACCCAGTTTGCGCTATGCCACCTTAACCGCGTACACATTTGCGTGATGCCACCTCGTTTGTGTGATGCCACCTCGTTTGCGTGCGGGGTGTCACCTGCGGCACCGCAGCGCAGTGTACCCTCCTGTGCGTGATGTCGCGTCGTTAAGGTGATGCCACTTGCTGATGCCATGTCGTTTGGGTGATGTGACCTGCTAACCCGCAGTGTGCCGCACCCACAGCGGAACGTCACCTCGTTTGCAGTGCCACCTCGTGTTCGTAATGTCACCTGCTACACCGCAGCTTGACGTCCCCTCGCTTGCCTGCTGCCGCCTCGATTGCATGATGTCATCTTCTACCCTGCAGCGTGATGCCATCTCGCTTGAGTTCTATCGCCTGAAATGTACCGCAGCAAGATGCCAACTGATTTGCCACACCAGTGTAGCAAACGAGGTGACATCGCGCAGCGGTGTGGCAAACGAGGTGTCATCACGCTACGGAACATAGCGAACAAGGTGGCATAGCGCTGCCGTGTACCTAGCAATAGACCTCGTGCTGCGGTGCAGCACGGGGAGGGCCCCCCAAGGGCCGAGGGCGGCGAAAACCAGCCAGGACCCGCTCCCCTCAGGAGCCCCCTCCTTCATGGCGGCTCCGCCTCCGGAGGCGGGACAGTCTCGGCGCGCTGGCGAAGGCCCCCCCCCCTCCCCCTCCGAAGGCGACGAGGGAGCCCGCCTGAGGTTCTGGGTGCAGCGGTCCAGGAGGCCCTGCAGCTGGAGCTGCGCCACCTCTCGCGCCCGCGCAGGCGGCGGACGACGGTCGACGGACGACGGCGACGATTACGGAGACGGACGACAACGACAACGGATGACGACGACGGATGATGTCGATGACGACGATGGACGGCGACCAGCGGCGACGATGAGGACGAACGACGGCGACGACCAGCGGCGACGACGACGACGGCGGCGGCGGCGACGACGGCGGTGGCGACGACGAACGCCGACGACGACGACGACGACGACGACGACGAGCGGTGACGGAGATGACAGCGGCGGCGGCGACGGCAAGGACGGACGACGACGACGATGGCGGCGGTGGCAACGACGACTACGGCGGCGGCAGCGGCGACGCCAGCGATGACGACTTCTAGGAGGCCACATGCGAGTCCTACCTCACCACCCCACGATTCCTGAGGAGGGAGGTGGGGTTCGCTTTGATCGGGACCTCCCGAGCGAAGTGAACCTCACCTACCCCCTGAGAAATCTAGGGGTGCTGGGATAGGTTTCGCATATGCTCCTAACCACGACGACGAGCAAAAGAACGGCAACACAGGTTCGCTCTGGAGGCTCTCGGTCGCCATGGCCAGACGGAGCCTGAGAAACTGGCCAGGACTGTTCCCGTGAGGGGCCCGGGCGGCCCAGCGCTAGGGACCGATGCGAGCGGACCGCCGTCGAACAAAAACGCGACCACGCCCAAAGCCGTGCCAAGCAGTGTCTATGGCTGCTGCGGCGAGACCTCAGGGCGCCCAACAAGAAGGCCAAGAGAGGCAAAGGTCGACGACGACGACGACGACGAAGACGACGACGGCGGCGACGGCCTATGGTGGGTGCCCGTGGCCCCCGGAGGTCCCCAGAGGCATCTGGAGGCCCAAGGATGGCCGGAGAGGTCCAATGATGAGCTCCCATGCGATGCGACATCGCAACAAAAATGAGCAATACCGCAGATGGAAAGCAAACGCGACCTGACCCATGGGCCCCATCTTTCTGCTGCATATTTCGAGCTGGATGGATGCGTGAGGGTCCCAGGGCGCGAAACAAGGCACAATCGCCCGTTGCGAAGTAACTGCGGCGCCAGGATATCAGGTTCGAGCCTTGATCCTCGGGCGGCGGCGACGACGACGCGCGGCAGATGCCTCCTGGCGCACGTTCCCTCTCTCTCTCTCTCTCTCTCTCGACGACGACCAAGTCATCATCGTCGTCGACGGCGGCCGCGATCCAGAACTGTGCCGCCTGCGTTGCGGTGATGGCCTGGACGCAGTTCTCGCCACTCGCCACGGCGGCGCTCTCCCACTCGCGCGCGATGGAGGCCAGGCGGCACAGGACCTCGGCCGGCCCATGGCCATCCTTGGGGAGAGAGTGGGAAGAATGGGGAGGGAGCCCAGGCCTCCCCAGTCCCTTGCGAAGACAATCCTGGAGGCCTCGCGCGGCAACCGGAGGCGTCGGGTCCACGTTGGATGTACGTCGGAATTGCGTCGGATTTGCGTCGGACCGTCGGAACATCGCCGCGCGAACGCCGACCCATACAGCCGGGCTGCTGAAACAAGGAACGATACAAAAGACACGAGGAGGGCTGGCCAGAGAAAATCGAGCCCCTTCAGAACGCAAACCGCTCCTTATTTCAGCGCCTTGACTGTATCTGACAGGGTGGACGTGTGGAATAGATCATACAATTACTGCGCGCCGCGCGAGGCCTCCAGGATTTTCCTCGTAGTGAGCCCCTCACGCCCTGAACAAGACTCACCACGGGAAGCTCTCCGCTCTTCACAACCCTGGGAGGCCCTCGCCGCCCGGACCTTTCAAAAAACAGAGGCGGCACGGCTCCTTGAGAATGCGTCGAAACCTCTGGCACGGGGTCGTCGTCGTGCAGGGGACTCCAGGCGGGGCTTCTC